GCCTCCTCCTCTCGATCCCGATCCAATCGGGAGAGAGGGGGAGATATTTCGGGAGGGAGGAGTGGGGTGTCGGTGGGCGAATGGGGGAGTGGGGGAGGTTATGGGGTGTAGGGGTGGGCCGGCCCATTCGGGCGGTTGTGGCCAACTGGGCCGGAGCCCGGGGGGTTCTTTTCCCTTTCTTGTTTTTTGTTTTATTTTACCTTTCTTTTATTTATTTCCTTTCTATTTCCTTTCTAGTTTCTTTCTCATTTAGTTTTTATCTAATATTAAAATGATCCCTAATTTAGTAATACATTAAAACCCACTACAACAAAAGGTTTTACCCAAAACAATTTAGTTTAGTATTTTGTTAATTATAAAAACATTTAAATATTGGTTTTTGCTACTGTTTTATTCACCTAAGGGTATTTAAATTTTTTATAAAAATGGGGTTTCTTCACCATAATTACCTATGCATTATTTGGCATGTTTAGAGCATTTTAGTTCTAATGTTTGGAAACTTTTATTGTTTGACTTAAATCCAAATTTGAATTTGAATCAATTTTGAAATAACGCGAGTTTAAAAACAGTAACCGCGTGACATGGCATCATTAACGCGGGATTACTGTAGCCTAATTATCCGGACGTCACACTGACATCCTTTGCCAAAAAAGATTGATGACTTTTGCAGATTAACCTTCTGGCCCGAAGCCGCCTCATATGTTACCAAAATCTCCTTTAGAATCTGTAGGTACTCCGGGGATCCCTCCAAGAACACGATGATGTCATCGGCAAATAAAAGATGTGTAATATGGGGGCCAGTGCTCCCAAATGTAACACCTTTCATTTTATTTTCTGACTGTGCTCCCCTCAAAAGCGCAGAAAAACCTTCAACACAAAATAAGAATAAATATGGTGATAGAGGATCACCCTCGCTAAGCCCTCGGGATGGAAAGAAGCACCTAGAGCAGGCACCATTCAGCTTAACCGAGAAGCTCGCTGTCGTCACACAATGCATAATCATTGCTATCCATGTCGGGGCAAAACCGAACCGTTCCATCATCTATTGCAGGAAGTCCCATTCCACTCGATCATAGGCTTTCATCATATCTAGCTTGACTGCACATAGAGGTTTTCTCCTCTTCCTATGGCGAATGGCATGAACACACTCATAAGCAACTAAAACATTATCCGTGATGAGGCGCCCCGGCACAAAAGCACTCTATTCCTCTGAGATAAGAACTGGCAGGATGCTTTTTAACCTGTTGGCAAGAACCTTTGTTGCAATCTTATAAAGCACATTACACAAACTAATCGGCCGAAACTGGGATAGCAAATCCGGAGAGTTGACCTTAGGAATCATGACGATCACTGTAGCATTAAAACCCTCTGGGGTAGCTGTTCCACTCAGAAAATCACGAACTTCCCCACGGATATCATCACGAAGCAATGACCAGTGTCGCTGATAAAAGAGCGCGGGGAGCCCGTCCGGCCCCGGAGCTTTAGTCGGACCCATCTGAAATAGAGCCATCTCTATTTCAGAGTCCGAAATCGGTGCGGACAGTGTTGTGTTCATCTCCTCAGTAACTACCCATTGGATATTCTGCGGCACCTCCTCCGCCCCTACCGACCCCTCCGAAGTGAACAAATCCTCATAGAATGATGCTGCCATAGCTCTCATCTCCTCATCCACTGTGCATCTTGTTCCATCTGCCCGCCTCAATGCCTTGATCGTGTTCTTCCTCTTACAATGCGAAGCCCGGTTCTGAAAGTATTTAGTGTTTTTATCTCCTGCTTTGAGCCAATCCACTCTCGAGCGCTGTCTATACATTATTTCTTCTCTCTCATACACTTCCCTTAGCTGCTCTTCCGATTCCCGGACCTCATGTTGATAGCCAGACTTGAGCGCTCGCTCCTTTGCTTCCAATAGTTGTGCTTTCAACTGTTTTATTTTCCTTCTGATTGAACCAAACACCTCTCTCACCCACCGCTGAATAGACCCCGTCATTCTTCCCAGTCTTTCCCATACCGCCCTCACTCCTTCCTCTCCTGTGCTCGATGCTTCCCAAGCCTATGCGATCATCGTCTCGTACTGCTCATGACGGGTCCAGGCTTCTTCAAACCTAAACGGTCTGTCCCCCACTCCGGTACGAATTGGAGCCGTCTCCATTATCCGCACTAGGAGGGCTTGGTGGTCCGATTCTTCAGAAAGTAGATGCTCCACAGACATCTCAGGAAATATTCCTAAGAAACCATCGTTGCTAGTAGCACGGTCCAACCGGACCTGAATGTTATCCTGTCCATCTCTTCTATTGTCCTATGTAGGGGTACCCAGTAAAACCGAGATCAGCCAGGCCGCAGTCGGCAAGACAGTCTCTGAAATCCTTCATTTGATTGAAACACCTTGGATTTCCCCCAACTTGATCCACGCAGAAGAGGGCCTCGTTGAAGTCACCAACACAAAGCCAGGGTAGATTGTCTTGGGCACGCAGGAAACGAATGGCATCCCATGATTTTTTACGAAGTTCCGTTTTAGGCTCCCCATAGAATCCAGTGATTCTATGGAGCTTACCCTCCCAAACCACCTCTACATCAATGAAGTATTGGCACCATGGCCTCACCTTAACCTGCACATGATCCCTCCACCACAATGCTAAACCCCCACTTCTTCCATTGCAACTCACAGCAACTCCACTAGTGAAACCCAAACTCCATTTCAAACGCTCCATCGCTCTCGCTGACTTTTTTTGTTTCTGAAAGGAAAACCACCGCTGGGTTGTGAGATCGTATAAGATCTCGAAGTTCGCCAACTGTTGAGTCCAACCCCAATCCCCGACAGTTCCAGGCAAGGAGATTCATTGTGTTCGGCGTCCCTGAGCACCAGGGTCCGACGCTTCATCGTCTCTGTCCCGGATGCGATCAAACACTGAGGCAGTTTTCTGCCTTGTATCACGAATTAACTCATCCTCCCCACTCCTCACTTCTACTTCACCTTTACTCTCCACACCTGCCTCGGCCCCCTCTTTCTACTGCCACCATCCCTCCACGTGTATGGCTCCGATTGGTATCTCTGACGATAGTCTGACCTCTCCTTTCTCACGTGATAGCCATGACGTCGGCCTCGGGTCCCATGCATGTCGCCCCCCCCCCCAGTGGGTCGACCCGATCCGCTTCTGCATGGCGCTCGTTAGAGCCACCCCCACGTGAATCCTACTATAATCATTGCTTCTTTCCTGCTCCCTCCATTCGCGCCCGCCTCCATGTGGCCACCTCTCTGGCTTCCCGGGCGCTGTTCCATGAGCTTACTCCTCATCTCCTTCTCCCTCCTAGCTTCAAGGTTGTCCCTGAGGTCATGCCCTCGCATCGTTTTCATCTTGCCTCTAGCTCTGCTGGGACTAGTTACCTCACCACCCCCTTGTTTTGAGCGATCGCCAGTGTGACCGTCCGAGGTACGTGAGAATTTAGACTGCATATTCCTCTTTGTAGGCACGTCCCTAGCTCTGGAATGCACGGGGTTGTTGTTAGCCGCCTCACCAGCGTGAGAGCTACCCTGCCTGTTATTGCTACACGTCCCTCCTCCTTTCGACCCCTCTTTGCCTGAGT